ATTTGATTTTTTGAATAATAGTTATGGTCAAATAAAATGAAATCACAATATTTTTTGATAAAAATATTAAAATGATTAAAATATTTTTTCCGCTAATGTAAAGAAAATAATAAAATAATTGATAGCATTATTGATATAACTGATATAATCAGTTAGGTTCTTATGTTAATATTTTAATCTTTGGTGTTAGAAAAAATGATGCATTCTGATTACAGTATTGTTTTTATCAGTGTAATTTTTTTCATTGGGAGCAAATACTGAGACAAAACGGAGTAATTACTTTACACTCTAATACTTATTTGTCAATAATCATTCTACCATTAATCTTTTACAAATTGAATTTTACAATTTTCACTACTTTTTTTCAAAAAGCGTAACTCTTAAAGCAGACAGCTTTCATTTGCTGATTATAGCCATATATTATATAGTTATGATTGTTTTTGAATTTACATTTCAGTAACTATTGTCCATACCATTCAAAGCATTTCGAACTTTTTGGTCAAATTTTGTTCTACTTAATTTGTACTTTTTCAAACTAATAGGAAATTGCTGATCAAAAATTTGAAATTATTTTCGTAAAGCCTAAAAGAATGAAAACAAAATTTATTTCCTAAAATAAATATCAATCATAGAATTGTGATTTATCATAAAAATTTAATTATGAATGAAAAACTTATTTCAGCAATAAAAACAATAAAAGTGGTAACTTCGTTACTATTCACATTTTAATAAAAAATTAATTTACTGATTACATTACAAGTACCAATCAAATTGTACAAACATTTCTGATTATTCATGTAAAGCTATTACATTGCTTGGTTATTTTTTTAAATTATAAACTCAAATAATAGTAATAATAATAATAAGAATTATTATTATTATTATCAAAAGTTATGCGGATTACGAAGTAAAGCGAAAGAAAATTCAATTAATTTATAAGATTTCACATCTGCAAAAATGATCAAATGTTTATTGTTTGTTTATTATCTCTTTCCTTCTCAACTAATATTAGCATAACGCTGTAAAATCAAATCAAAATAATAATCATAAATATGTTCAAATTTGTATGAAGAAAGCCTTTTTATTTTTCAAACAATTCAATTCATACAGAAGCAATATATTTGTATATATATTTTGGTGTTTTACTTTTTAAAGTGAAAAGCAAATATGCAAATGTTGAGTGAGCTTAATAACAAGATAAATTAATGTATGTAATACATTAAATATATGCATAATTCCTTGTTTTCTTTCCTGCTACTTATTATCAAGTTTTACATAATTTGCTTAATTTTTAAAACTTATAAACAAACAACTAAATGTAGTAATCAAGAAGAAACCAGTAAAAATTTATCGCACTATTTTGTAAGCACTGCAGAACGAGTTCTTTCCAAATCATAAAACAAGCTAAAATTCAGTAATTATGAAAAAGATTGAGTAGTTTGCAATACTTGAATATTTAATCATTAAAAATAACTTTTTGCCTTTGTAAATGTTGTAAAATGCAATCTTAATTTATCAGAGAAGAATTAAACAGTGAAATTATCAGAAATTTATTCAGATTATCCTAATACTTTTTTCATGGAAGTGAATTCATGCTGAATAAAAAAATGTAGCTTAAATTTCCAGACATAATTTACAAAAAATAACGGTGAACATAAACTAAAACTTCGTGAACTTTAAAAAGGCAGTTTAGGCCTTTTTCATAATGATTAAATATTGGTTTGTATAAATTTGATATTGCAAAAATTTTATGAATAAGTTGTAACTTTGTATTACATAATAATAAATTAAATTTATTGGCTAAAAATTAAAAAAAGTATCAGAAGTAAAATTTTCAGGAAAAATTTTCATGATGGTTGGGAGCGTGAAGGTGCTGCTGTTTGCATTTACTATAAGGGTGAATTAGTAGTAGATTTATATGGTGGATATTCAGATGCGAGTTCACTTCGTCCATGGACAGCACATACAAGAACTGTTGTCTTTTCAGCTACAAAAGTTATTCATAAAATTCAAAATTAAACTTAATAGTTTGGTTTTATGCAATTAAAGATGCGTTGTATTTGTGGAAAAAATTTTTTAATTATGCTTGTGCTAGGCTGTTGGCGCGCTTTGCATAGCGGTGTTAATTGATCGAGGATATTTACGATATACAGATCGAGTAAGCCAATTTTGGCCAGAATTTGGACAAAATGGTAAAGAAAATATTACTGTGGGCTGGGTTATGAATCATAGTGTAAGCTTTTTATTCTATGAAAAATTTGGTTTACTACTGACCTATTCGCTAAAAGTAATTCATTGCAAAAACGAGCGTGAAATCTTAAAATACATTGAATTTTAGGCAGGCTTAGCTGCTTTCGATGAACCAATAAGTAAACACGACGCTTGTGATCATCAAAAAATAGCTGATATTATTTCAAGACAAAAACCAAATTGGATACCAGGCAAAACCCTTCAACTCTTTGTATAAAACCAAAAATATTACCTTTTAAAACAACTTAAATTTGTTTATCAAGTGAATTAATAAACCCTATTAATATTTCAGATATTCATTTTTCCATTTTTTCAATCATTTTTTCTTGAACTGGTATAAATATCAAAATAAGACCATTTAAAATAATAATAATTATTATTAATACTCACTACTAATTTATGATTTTGTAATGGCAAAAAGTTGGAAATAATCCAGTGAATAAAGTTTTCATTAATAATAAATTGAGACTTAAGAAAAGAAATATCAAAATATGAACCATTTTAAATAATAATCATTAATAATACTTAAATACTCAATAATGCTTAAATAATTAATATTTAAAAACATTTGAAAAATATTTAATGCCTTATTCATGATAATGAGATGTTTAGAATTTTGTCAAGATTTGTTGATTAGGAACGAAAGTTGGATATCATGCGATAACTTATGGATGGCTTGTAGATCAAATTGTAAGACGTGTTGATCCAAAACATCGCAGTATTGGGACTTTTTTCAAACAAGAAATAGCAGAAAAATTTGGTAAGCAGTAATTGTCAAATTTAAAATAAAGAGCCGATAAAAATTTAATGATATTACAGTTTTTATTGCAGATGTGCTATTAATAAATCAAATATTATTTCAATGCTTTTTCTAGTAAATGGTGAATATTATCTAATTTATATTTACAAGGAAATGCTTCTCTAATTTCTGTACAAATTACTGCTATAATAAATGAAAAATTAATCATCAGATTTTAATGAATTTAATTAAAACTTTCCGGTATTGACTTTCATCTTGGCTTACCAGCAGCAGAAGAATATACAGTATCTCGATTAACCTCGCCTCCATTTTCGCACAAACTTAAAGAAATAGCACATGACCCAAGAATTTTATACGTGTTATGTATGCTTTATATACGACCTCCTACATCAATAGCTTGGAAAGTTCGACACACAACCTCGTGGATGAAATTGAATGCAGTAATTTTAAATTATCCTCATTATTATTTAAATATGGTACATAATTCAGGAAATGTTATCGTTTTGTAGCACTATGAAAAATTATTTACAGAAAGTGAATACTTTCAATGATCCTGACCTTCATCAGATGGAACAAGTGGCAGCTTTAGGCATAACTAAAGCAAAAGATCTCGCTCGATTATTCTCTCTTTTCATTGAAGGAGAGATTGTTTCAAAAAATTTGATAAATTTGTATAAAATGCCAGAAATATCACGTGGCTTAGATAAAGTTGTACTAGCTCCATTACCCAAAGGATATGGCTTTATGTATGAACGACATCCATTCAAGCCCGTATGCTTTTCTTTCATATCAGCATGTTATTAGAAATTTAACAGCTTCATTAGAAAGTTTATCATAATTTGTATCAACTAAAATCTTAGACACGTTTTATGCTTAATTAAATAGTTATGCAAACATATAGATTGCTAATACCTGCAATTATATTTTCAAATACTAATAAAAAATTGAATATACAGGGTTGTTGGCTTGTTGGACATGCAGGTCTTGGTGGAAGCACAATCATGATGGATATAGAAGAAAATTTAGTAATCGCTTATGTAAGCAATGGTCTAAAATTGGGTACTGGAGAATTAACCCGAACTTATCGATTACTGCGAAATGCTGCTTTTTTATCAATAAAATGACAAAATGACTGAAATAAATGTGTAATTCTGTCAAAAACTGTATACTTTAACTACTGAATAATCTACATTTCTATCATTGGCAATACTAAAATACTTATTTTGATAGTAAAACCAAACTAATCATACTTAATATTTTTTTAACATTTTAAATGTGTTAATTACTAACCGTATACTAGTATGGCTACAATATTAATTTAAACTGTCACTGAAATTTATATAAATCGTCGTGAAATACAAACATATTTGAACAAAAGTAGTGAATAAAGTAAGAAAAATAGTCTTTAAGTTCATATATAACTTAAAGTTAAACTGTTAAATTGATGCTTAACTTTCAATTAACTCATATCATGAAAAATTTAATTATTGATGAATTTATTATTCCAACTTCATTTCCGCATTTTTTTAAAAATTTTCATTACATTTTGTAGTAATTATAAGTAAAAATAAGTGAAATATAATTAATTAGCTTTATTTATTTTTAAATAATTCACATAGTGCCATTGTAGTTTGATAAATCCATGAAATCAACATCATCAAAGTATTTTTGACGTAATGCATATTCTATTACGAGCAGATGAAGTAGAAGATATTGTTCTGGTTTCATTACAGCTTTATCACGTTGTGTCCTGACTCTTAGTACTGTATCTCGAACATCAACCAAAACATTGCCGTTTAATGTTTTTTCTGTATAATCCATTTTTCTACAACATATATCCAACACTGCTAATGTACCACTTCTACCAGCACCCGTCAAACAATGCACTAAGATTGGAGAACTGAAATTAATTACTAATAATAACTCATTCTTTATTGTATTAAGAAGAACTGAATGCTAAGTAAGAATAATACTTTTTTTTTTCCTTTTTTCTAAAAAAAATGAATTAACAAAAAATAACAGCTACCAAATCTTTCAAATAAAACTTACAAAGCTTTAAATTTTATAAAGCTTTTTATTCTCTTAATTTTACAACACATAAAAATTGTGTTTAAAACTGTATTTATAAAATCTCTAAATTTTTCACATTTGACAAATTTTTTAACCCAAAAATTATTGAATATATTAATGTAAGCTTACCGTGCATCCTTTAACCAACCAGTCTTTTGGGCTTCTTCGAGTAATAACTTTCGATTATAGTTAAGATCTGATATTAAATAAAGCATTTCAGTGGGTTTTTCTGGCGTTCCTTTGTTGTGCCATGTAAAAAAACTTATGTGAAGAATTTTTCGCTCTTGATCATTTCCTTTCTTTAACTACAATCTCTAATTATTCATTTATTAACATTGAAAATTCTATTTTACAATTTTCTATTCAAATTAATTTCATTTTTTATGAATTTCTCAATTGTTTTTCATTGATATTACTCGAATCACCTTAATAGTTTGGTTGCATAAAACCAAACTATGCAACTAAACTTAAAAAAAAAAAAAATTTTTTCAATTTCTACCATATTTTCCTGATAAATCATAGTCCAAAATGATTCTACCGTATTAACCATTGGTGATTGTGTTAGGATAAATTTTTTCAAATTTTATTACATTAAAAAATTTTGCTTATAAAATGGAAATTGAAACCTTGTATTTATAAATGTATAGATGATAGTATTATCAATAAAATTGCATAAATTTCTGATATGCAATTGAGAAGATGAAGCCATTTTCAGTAAAACCTTTAAAATTGTTGCTTCATATGCTTCACGAATCTGTTGTGATCCACAGTATCGTATTGAGTAAGGTCCAAATGTGGCAATATCTGATCGCTTGATAGGCATATACATAAATGTTTTTGATGAATGCATACTTGTCATTGAAACAATTTCTACCACATTTTCCTGATAAATCATAGTCCAAAATGATTCTACCGTATTAACCATTGGTGATTGTGTTAGGATAAATTTTCTTTCTTCTCGAAATCCATCTACGTAATTTGCGTTTATGTAATCATGCGGTTCTGTGGCATGCCTATAGCTACTATTTCATGCCCCAAATTTTTGATAAACATATTTAAGCTCAAGTATTTTTCTCAAAATCTTTCAAATTTTAACATTTTTATATGAATTTTATAGCATTATGAAAAAAGGAATGACTGTGGAAAATAAAAGCATTTAGAAAGGAAAACTAGTCAATTATTAAAAAATTACTAACTGAACTTTTACTCTAGTCTGATCTAGACAACGAATATCTTTATAACGATTAAGATCTGCATGCTGTTCACAAATGTCTGATGTGTCCTTAGTATCCTTAGAAATAACGGTAGCATAGTCAAAGAACAAACTGTAAACATTCATGGAACATATTCGACGTGTGAAACTGCTTAACGTGATTGCATCCCCAACATCATGTAAAAACTTTTCTGGTTTGACACTAAACCTGAAGGTTGTGTATAGAGAAAAATTTTTTAACAAACACTCAAAAATAAAATTTTATTCTGACACTTTCAGAATTTTACTCTTTCATGTTGATATACGTATAGTCACGTATAGAGTCACTTGACTTGAATAGACCCAAAAAATTTTATAATAGTTTAGTTCAGTCATGTTGCACATACTAGCAGTCAATCAAATCTTCGTGGCCACTTAATTACTTCATACTTCAACTTAAACAGTATTATCATCATATAGACTAATACTGCAGTTGAAATGGAAAACATTTGTATTATCTTAAAATTTGAGTGCATATGTGCAGCACGTCTCATTTTAATGTTCATTTCGTCCACAATGTTCACTGTCAACAATTAATTCATGCAAACTGACAAAATTTATTTTTTTCTGAATACAATCAAAACTAATGCGATTCAAGCTGATATTTGTAACATAGTACACATGATTGAATAATACATACCTTTATAATTCGCAAAATTAACTTAGTGATCCGAAATTTCTCACTTTATTGCAATCATTTAAAACACAATGCAAGCAGTAATAAAAGTAAGTAATGTTATTAATATGAATTATGTAGTTTAAGAAGAATAAATATGTAAATAACATGTTATTTTGTATTTGAAAATTTTCCACGCATTGTGAATGAACGAGCCTTGAAGTTGTAGCAGACATTGGAGCAGTTAAAGATGAAATTGCTTTGGAGCTATTTGATTTTTCTAAGTTATTTGATTGTTGCAGTTGCGAAGTGCCCATTCACACGTGTAAATGAAAGAGAGCACTTTTTTAACCACAATTTCCACTGGAACTACACTAAACCAAAATGAATACAAATTACTATTTTCCATTTATTTTATCTATTTCTTGTAATATGCAAATTATAGACATAAAATTAATAAAATTTAAATATTTAGCTCATAATTTCATTCCACCACCAACTTTTGTAACTTTACAGAATTAAAAGTCAAGCCTACAAGAATTGTATAGTAAAATTTTTGTATAAGTTATCAATCAGTGATAAAATTTTAATCCTCCAGTCTTCCTTAAGTATTGTTACTAATGAGAGATTAAGAACTTTGATGACTATAAGTAGCTGTAAAATTTTTTAATTTTATTTACTAATTTCCATTACTGAAACAATAATTACGTTAAACACTAAATAAAACATTGAAAATAAATGCAAACTTTTGTGTGAGATTTTGCTGAATTATTCTGACAATGCCAATGTCACTCAAGAAATTTAATTTCGGAATACAAAACAATACAGAACGGTCTTTCTAAAAATATTCATGCTATTTTAATATTCTGATTCTTCGTTCCGATTATAATTGTCGTTAAAATTAAAATTATGCTTATCAGTGATAATTTCAAAAAGATAAGATTCAAGCGTGAAAAAAGTACACGACAAGTTTATAGTATATGTTTTATAATATTTTGTATCTTAGATGCAATACATATATATCATTCATTTGATGCTGTGTCTCTCAACATATATTGCTACTTCAAACTGTGTCGATACTGAATGTCTCAGTTTTATTTGCATCAATTATAAACACATTGAAAATGATAACTTAAATTCCAAGCGAATTCAACTTCATCCTTTATAGCCAATCTCCATTTCAGCGCAAACAATCTCACATCAAAAACAAAAATTGCATTTACATAATGATAAATTTTTCAGTTCAAAGTTCAACAAAATTTTGTTAGATATTGACACAAAAAGTTAATGTTAATATTTTAGCATGAGAAATCTTTGCTTTAGATTTCATACATACAATCTTCTAATAATTTTTTGTTTCAAATAAAAGTCATTTAATGCGATTTTTTAGTGAAATAGTTAAAGACAGTACGCTTATTCTATTTTTTTGTGATTACAAAAATAGGGCAATCATTGCAGATAATATAGTGATAAAAGAAGCAGCACGGAAAATTGTACAAAAATATAGTGGAAAGTGAGATAATATAAATTGTGCATAACGTTGTTGTTATTGAAGGTTCATATACAGATTGCCAAAAATTTTTGTAATGGACGTTTAGTTGTAAAGTATATAGTACGAAGAGTCACGGAAGTGTCAAGAATAGGACGCAGGATTGATATTATTTCTGTTGATAAATTGATTTAGGTAAATAAATATACATGTTGCACAGTTAGCGATAAGAATCTAGACTTTTTTGTCAATTTTTCAAGTTGCTTTCGCTATGATTTTTTCTACTATTTATCAGGTGAAGGATGTTTGTTTCGTTTTATTCTTTGTGCATCTCTAACTTATTATTTGTAATCGTTGAATCAGATCTGAGTATTGGACTGCTGAAAAAGACAGGAAATAGTCCGAAACCAAATGGCTATGGTAATCGACCACGTGGAGTGCCCTTTTCACGTTGGTTTTTATAAATGTTTATCAAAATACTATTACTGCTCAAAGGAATTGCTCTATTATCATGGTTTTTAAGCACTGTATTTGTTTAAATAATTTTTAAATTTAGATGTTATACTTTAAAGAGACCGCATAAATTTTCTTGCTATTAATATGAGATTATTCGGTGAGAATTTATATAACTCACATTTTTGCTGCATATGGCATAATTGAATAATTTTAGTACAACAAGTCGTAATCATATAAAAACTAATTATTTATGTTGTAAAAATTTTTCTAGGTGGACCTTTCTATACTACGGGTGAAGTATTTGCTTGCATAGACAACTCAAAAGCGATACCGTTTTCTCAAGTTAATGATAATTATTGTGATTGTCAAGATGGTAGTGATGAACCAGGTCAGTTTAAAGCTGAATTTTAAATCCGTAGAAAGGTATGGGAAGCGTTTTACTTCACCAAACTTCAAATCTAATGCATTATAAATATCTCATTATTAACTTGTATTATTTATTTAGCTTGTAGTTCTCACAGTTGATAGAAAATTTGTGAAAAATTGTTAGTGAGAGCTGCTGCTTTGTATAATTTACTTGACCAGCAATTTAAACGTTTGTACATCAGTTGTGTTCTTCAGAATGTTTAAGATGTTTTTGACGAGTATAATTGGTTTAGGAACATCTGCCTGTCCTAATGGTAAATTCCATTGTTTAAATCGTGGTTTTCTAGCTGAAGATATACCATCGAGTCGAGTTAATGATCAGATATGTGGTTGGTTAATTTTTAGACAAATAAGTTAATTTCATTAGCCAGCAGCAGCAAAAGTTAGACAAGAAGTATTGTATTCTATTAATTTCGTTTACTTTTTGTCATACTCAGGTCTTTATATATGACCGTTTCCAAATTTAGTTTTTTCGAAAATCGATTTGTCATTTTTGATATACTGTCAAAGGATTCCTCCATTCAAAAACAAGACATTTTCTTTGATTGCATTTGCGTCTAGATTGTTGTGATGGAAGCGATGAATGGGATGGTGCAGTTGATTGTCCTAACGTCTGTCATGAATTAGGAGCAAAATATCAGGAAAACCTACGTCAGAAAATTGAATTAGCGAAAAGGGTAGTGTAGTTTTTAGATTAGATTTTTTTTGCTTCTCTGGTGCTCTGTTTGATTTTACACGCGTACTGCGTTCTAACTTGCTCAAATTTTTTGTTCCTAATTGTATTTTCAGGGTTTTATAAAACGAATGGCATTGGTTTCAGCAGGGCAGGAATTAAAAACAGAAAAATTGAAGCAACTGGAAACTTTAAGAATTGATTTTGAGAATATGAAAAAATTGAAAGCAGAAGCTCAGAAAAAGCTAGATGAAATGGTACATCTGGAATCAGAAGCAAGGAAAAAACATGAAGAAACTTGGGAAGGTATAGTTCTGTTTAATAAATTTTTAAATAAAACTGTAAAGAAACGAAACTTTTGTTATTTTGATTTCCACTTATTTTGAATGGAGATGGTCTTGTTCAGTTTTAAACTATTTACTAATATTGTAATGCATCTAAATTCTTTATACTATTGTCATTGTTTCTGATTGTTTGAAAATTGTTATGGTAGGGAAACATGTAGGGTGGCTTGAAATGTATCCTGTTTGAAGAAATAAAAACACCAGTATAAGACTCATACTAAAATAATAAATTAGTTGGCCTAATGGCAATAATAGATACTTTAGTTCAATTTACAGAAGAAAAAAAGAAGCTAAAACGAAATTATGCTCAAGTACTGTTCGATGCATTGGATCTTAATAAAGATGGAAAGTACGGATTCTTGTTATTACTTACTTGTTGAAGCTCAAATAATAATACAGAAAGCATTTTAACATCAAGTTCTACCTTTTGTACGAATTACTTTTGGCTTACAATCCCATATTGACTGTGAAGATTAGATGAATTTTCGGATTTTTTTCAGGATTACGTTGGAAGAACTACGATCGTTCAGAGTATTTGACACTAATAATGATAACATAATTTCTGATGACGAAATAAAGGTTTTTTTTTTCTTAATTAAGTTAGTATCTCTCAGACCATTTTATCTAGCAAGAAATATCACATATTAGAAATCGTTCTTGAAGAAAAACCTTTTTCTTCCAAACTTTTATTCATTTTTTTCTATAGTTTTTAGGATATTGGAACATGACTAGAAATCATGTTTTTTGCTTTTTGTGACTTAGTTATTTATAGTATGTTCTACCGGATGAAAAGGAGGAGTGTGATTTTGAAGTATTTTTCGAAAGTGTTTACGATAATGTGCATCATCATTTTGAAAAGTCAAAAGAAAATGAGAAGAACGAAGAGGAAAATATTGATCTCTCCCCTTCATCTTCACCTGTGGAAACAGTAGTCACAGGTATTCACTATTTAATCGATATTGAAATCCCGAAAGTATGGTATATAGTGGGAAAGGTCTCGATTTATTATTTCATAAGTGAATACTGCAAACACTGAAGGCTGAAGGTGATGTCAGCAATAATTACATAAAATTAGAAAAAGAAAACTTATCCAGATATCTTAAATTATTATTTGAGCTTTTTTTTTTCAACCGGATATTATTAAAGGACTTGTAAAAGTATACTAGCACAAATTGCATCCTTTTTTGCTCTCTGTAATGAATTGTTTGTGTAAGTTTAGATTCACCCGATAATGATGCTTTGAAGCAGGTACTTGAAGAGAAGTCGGAAACAGTTGATGATCTCAGCAAGAACATTCCTGTAATTCCAAACCTTGATTTAGATAGACCAGTCTTTGATGCAGAAACAGAAAGAATAATCAAAGGTCTTTTACTCACAGTTTGTTGAAATTCTTTAGTCGAAAGGCGTCTAATATGAAACTTAAAACCTTGAAAAATAGTCGTTTTTAGAGGCGGATGATGCAAGGAAGGAATATGAAGATGTTGATAAACGCTATATGGATCTTGACTCTTCTATCAAGTACAAGATTACTTCTAAAAACAGTATTAAAAAAAGTGGTGAAGGTGATTGAATAGTGGATAAAAAGTGGGAGAAGTAGGGAAGGTAGACATTTGCAGTGGCGCAAATGCAAAAGGACAAATTACGGGTTGCCTATTAATGGTTAATTAACCTTGCATGTAGAATGTTTTTCATAGGGACTCGGAGCAGTATACAAAAGATGATTTTGGTGATGACTTGGCTTGGGCTACTCTAAAAGGGAGATGTTTTGAATTGGAAGAAAATGAATATTTGTACAAGCTCTGTTTATTCGACAAAGCCACTCAGAAGAGCAAGAACAGTCATATTGAGACAGATCTAGGGTATTATTCAAATCATTTAAAAATTGCCATCTTTTCGACGTTTTATGGTATTCATGGTCACAACTTTCGATAAAATCTGTTACGACGGTAGCAATTTAATAATCAGCATCTCATATTGCTCTGTAAATGAGAAATCTGTTTTTTTTTCCATCACACGCGTTACCGTTGTATCTTGGCTGATGCAGCCATTTATAAGCACAAAGCTGTAATCTGTTTATTTTTTCAAATTTTTGTATCTTTTTTAAGTCCTACATGACTTATGCGCAGAAATAGAGTCATAGTTATTCTTACTTCTCGTACAACTTATTACGTTTCTTTCATGAATTCTTGTTTTTACTGCAGACAGTGGAGTGGATGGACTGGAACAGAACTGAATAAGTTTGAGTTTCAAGTCTACCAGAAAGGGACGCCATGCTGGAATGGACCGGACCGGTCAACAAAAGTAGTTGTTGAATGTGGAGAAGAGACTGAGTTGGTAGAAGCATCAGAACCCAGCAAATGTGAATATCTATTTACATTGCGTTCTCCAGCTGCATGTCCGGACCCTGCTAATATCACTGACGAGCACGAAGAACTTTGAATGTTGGTCCTTATAAATATTGAATTCGAAAATAAAATTCGAAGTGGTGACTTCATATTTTATTCTCTTTTTTCTGTGAACTAAATGTAGTGGATTTCTTGCTATATTTCTGCAGGAGTGTCGTAATTCCATCTCTATAGTCCTATGATGACTAGAAAAGTTTGGAACTAACAGAAATCGGCCGCTTTAGATTTCTGATTAATTTATGGTATGGGTTTTGTTATCATGGATGTTCTTTTTTGTTGGTCTTTTTACGAAAAACTACGATTTGCAATCTCGCAGTTTTTATATTTTTTTGTTGCTTTCTATGTAGCAACATTGAGCATGACATTATTTCAGAATTTTGTAATTTATAAATGCAATCAAATAAAGAGTAGTTAAATATACAAAATCACATCTCTTGCAGTGGTTCTACACCTAGCAAATGCATACCACTGTTCAAAATTTTCCTAGCTGTAGACAATAACAATAACCTCGGTAGGGCTATATTTGGCGCTTCACCTGACACTCGAAGAACAGAAGAAGCGGCGCCGACAAGATTTGCTAACTGCAATAAATATACGGCCAGACGACATGGTTGCATTTCATTATAGCTGTCGTATAGGGCATCTGGAAAAGCCTTAAATTGTTTCAAAAGCTGCGAAGTCGCTTCATTTGTTTCAAATTCGTCTTCAAATTGTTGCAATAAATTTTGCATCAAAATATGATTCCGTCTCTCGATTGAAGTTAGACGGCTGTGCTTTGTCTGAAATCTCTATTCTACAAATAAAAGACAGAAGGCCTCGAAATGTTATTCATTTGATATAATGAGAGCTCCTGACAGAAAGTTTTTATCGTTTTGTCAAGTATTAGGAGATCACTAAACTAATGCAAATTAAAAATCAAAAGAACAAAGTGTGGAGGTAGATAAATGAGAATTTGAAGAAATGATTTAAGTTTCGATTTAAAAATTCACAATAAATTACCTGTAATAAGAGTGCATTATTCTGATTCATTTGATATGCTTTGTCGAAAGAAAATGTGTATTCGCTATTTCGTGCTCTCTTGAGATCATCAACTATCATTGTTGCGAGTGATAACTTATATGCAACATCTCAAAAAGGAATATTTTTTAACCAACTGTAATGTTACAATGAGACTACTGCTTTAAAAACTTACGCGGGATTTCTTCTGGACAAATTTTCATTGTTTTTGATCTGCAGATGAATGATTTGGCGAGTTCAGATCCCTGATTCAATATTGTACTTACAACTTGGGAGTTTCCTCGTCTATGCAATCGCAAATAATTACAGAAGAAAATACAGGACTAAATTACTATGGCAGTTTTCTATGAAGCTAAGAAGACAATACGGGACAGATATCACCTTGTGGAAAGCCCTTTTACACGGCCAAATGAGACATGGTGAACTTTGTCGCTGAGATCTTTCTTCCCTACAGCAGTCAGAAGATGCTTCAAGTTGGTGAAATGTTGTTGCTGAGAATGGTCGACCACATATAGATACTCATCGGCTGCGTATAGCTGTTCTCGTAACAAAATTGATGCTAGATCTCTTAATTGGTAACATGAAAGTTGCGATAACACATTTCTCATAAGCAGTCTTAGAGAAGGAGGAGAAGTAAATGACTGTTAAGAAAGTTTGCACTTAATATAAATTTAATTGCATTTACATAAGAAATAAAACCACCTCGATAAATAAAGAGTGGTATTATTAGATTTCCTAATGACAATTGGCATAGACTCCTTTATGCCGCGAACTACAACAACTCCATCATCGTCATATTCTGCTTGTCCCTTATCTAACATGCCATTAATTAACTGATGAGCAGAGGCGACAAAGTCCGACTCAAAATACTCCACATCCATCGTAAAATTGATGCGTCTGAAGTTTTATTCTGTATTTAACTAGTTAGGTTTTGATAAAGCCAATCACCGCATAAACACATCCATCAGAAATGATGCTTTTTCGACGCAAATGACTTCCCCAGCTCTTCTGTCCAAATTAATTTCTAAAGACGCCCCTTATTTTCTCGTAAAATACTACTCACGATAACCACTCATACACCTGTATTAGCTTATAACAGAATTTTTGCGCCTAGACATTTAAAGATAAACTGAAAAGAATTAAAAAATGCAAAAACCAGGACACCTATAAAAATGTTGTAAGTATTCATACGATAACCGTCGTGTATTTTGCCAGAATAATAAGTGCTCATTAATTTCTCCATTCAATAACGCACTTTCCATACTAGAAAGAATGTTATTAGCTTTCTGTCGGAAACCAGCAGAGTCTTCCGCCAGTTTGTTTGCTTCAACGTAGCATTTAGCCAAAAGAGACGTTTTCTGTTCATTAGTCAAACGAGACCATTCCTTAAACAAGAGGTAGCCTCAAATTACTAAATATGCTTAAAATTTTTTATATGCGCGAATTTAGAGCTTGTATTTACTTCATAAGCGGGTTTCATCGTGGGCCAGTGTGCAGCGATAAGTGCAAACTGAAGTCCCCAATCACCAATATAGTTGATGGAAGTGACTTTATTCCCAGCAGTTCGATTTATTTCACTGATGTAACGGCCAATAATGCTAGATCTACAAAGAAAAAATTCTGAAACTATTTTCACACAAAAGACACTTTAAAGATGTAGTCATTTCTCGTTTGTTCAAAGTAAATAAAAGACTTGCAAATAAGTAAAATTCTGCTTTTTATCTTTGAATATACATGAAAATCATTCAGCCTAGAAGCGTTTTATTTCAACAGCTTATGATATTTAGTGAAAGTACTCCTGATATAAAAACTAATTTTAAAAAATATCATTTTTAACATGTTTCAAGCGAGGTTTTATATTTGACTGCTTCAAACTAAGACAGATACCACTATAAGTCAGATTATTTACAAAAAATTTGGACAGCGCAATATCAAAAATTTTTGACAAATATAAAACTGGTACCTGAAGTTACCAACGTGGAACTGTTTAACAATATTGGGTGAAGAATAATCAATAACGACAGATTTCTTGTGCGTAATACGTTCCTGAAGTAACGCTGCTGCTGGATTTTCATGACGCCATAGATTGTACACAAATTTTCTCATAGATAATTTGGTTTAGTAAAGCTTCTCACCGTCTCGTAATGGTACGAGCAGTCAAATTACTTGGAATATAAAACGGACAATACCTGAAACAACAGGTTACGATCACTTGGGGAAAATCACAAATACCAACACTAAGAATGATATTTATCCTGTTACCACTCCTGCATCAAATGCTGGAATACTTCCTTTTGAAAGAGTAATAATCAACTAACTTGTGATACCGAATATTCTCTTAAAGTCATCTCAAAATTAATTGAGAACTGCAACAATCTACAGGGAAATTTATTTTTATCCTTCCAGCTTTTTAAAAAGTATAATGGTCATTACTACACTACAAAAGAAAACTAATTATCCTAATTAGCGCTGAACGGAACAATAAAAATATTAACCTGCATTCATCTAAAAATGAATAATTTGCATTTATTCTCATATAATTTCATGTCCTCTATTCATTCGAGATGACATGAAGACAGATGAGAACTACAGAAAGCTTTAAATTAATCCACCCTAGCATCCCCAGAATGTTTTGACATATTTCATATGAAATGATGCAAATAGATTTTATGACGATATAATGTTCATGGAAATGATGTAAATACACTTCATGGCGATTTTTAATAACATATATTAACTTTCAAGACAGTACTTAGCAAAAAGTCTTGCCAAACCACCTTGCTGCTTGCAGCATAATTTCAATATATATGAAATAATTGATCTTTTCAATGTTCTCTCTAGTAAACATGAATTTTTTCAACACTGATATTCTGGTCACAAAACTATACAGTTTTTCTTAATAGTAAAAACAACTGCAACTACAAAATTAATGTAACCATTTCAACAAACTTAAAATATCTAATCAAAATACGACAATAATACGAATAGTTAAATTTACTCCAGCTAACGCCACGAATTATGGTTATATACAATACAGGATAAAAATTGATGGGATGTATAGTATTTTATGTTCTTCATGCGTTAAACTGTTGGGTAAAGCAGAGCTCCAAATTTCTGAATATCGAAAAAATATTAAAAGATTACAAGCTTTTATAAAATTAAAAAACGTCAGTCATAAGTAGAGAATAAATCCGCTTATTACTGAAATACTGTATACAGTAATATAATGTAGTTTTTAAGCAATTGCTGTAAACAAAGCCCTAATTTTAAAAAAATTCTAATTCTTGAGAAAATATAATTTAAAGAAAAAATCAATAGATGGACAAGAAATGAAACCGTTTTTCGCAAGAGCGGACCAATAAAGACATCATTGTACATAAACATTCCAAAAACCAGAGAAGCAAAACCGAGTAACTGAAAGCAAACGCAAACGCTATGAGCCTCAGCCTTTTCTACTCAATAATAAAAAGTGATTCATACCATGATTTTGAGATTCAAACATGAATCTAACCAATTTGATCAGCCAAAAATAATGCTTTTATTATGTTGGCAAAAATTTGCAAATAGTACAGAAACAAAACTTTACTTGAAGTGGTATGAAATTGCTGTGAAAAAGTGGTATTGACACAGCCCATATTATTATGGTACGTATACTATCTAACACCATTCGAGTCGTCGCATCCATATATTTTGTAACTGAGACACCAGAAAAGTTGAAGAATGCAATACTGAAAATGAATAAAGTGCAAACTAATTGGAAATGCGTCACAAAATTTTCTCCAATATCCTTAAAAATCCTCTGCTATATTCTCCCACATATTTTATTTAATAACATCAGATTCTATATTAAAAGGCTCTTTCAAAATCAAATTGCAGAGAAATGATATATATTCAGAGCATTTATTATGCCACAAACTTGATTAACCTTATAAGAGTAAGAGAAAGTGCAGCAACCAATTCTCCACTGTCCCGCATTTCTTGAAAAGCATCCAAAGCATCTTCAAGACGATTTTCTGGTGAATTTGAAAACATTGGAGGCACGTGAATGAAAAACATAGGAACCATCAGTATACTAAGAATCAGGAAGCCAAATATACCTTAAAAGTAATAATCACCTCAAGTAGAAAAAATTTACAGTACGTTCATTTAAATTATATATATGCTACTTTCTTGCAAGTAGATATAAAACTGCTGAAATTTGTAATTTCAAAACAGAATGGATGATAGTTTTTGAAACATGAACTTTTATGAGTTTTAAAATGTACAACTGTCCACACATATTACCCTCTAAACCAACAGCTAGCAGCGCTGGGCAGTTAAAATCTGATAACAGTTTCTGTTCAACGACTACTTGAACGGCAACAATAATCTGCGAAAAAATTACCAAAATATCACCTGAAAGATAGAAAATATATACGAGTTGGACTGTTTTTATAACCACATATTTCCTTTTTGAAATAATTCAAAAACTAAAGCGGAATTGGCAAGGAAATCATGAAAAAATGAACTCGCAACGTTGCTTTCTGAAACACAACACACCAACTAAAACTGATTTTTTTTCTGATCCTTCTGCTTCATGTGTGAACAAAATATCGGCAACACCAACAATCACTAAGCCAACTACCACCATAAGTATTCCAAGCCATTGATAAAGCCTTAATTTCATGCGCAAACATATCACAGAAAAGAATCCCGTGAAGATAATCACAGCACCTAATAATAATCAATTCTTTTCAGCGATTGATAGCAAAATTATGTGCTTAGAAAATCTCGTCTAATCTTCTTAATTACATTTTTTCTAGCAATTAAAAACAATGATATTTACTTGTAGTAATGTGTACCTGAAAAGCTATTTTTTCTGTTTTATTAAACAAACTTCAAAAGTTTTAGTAATGAGAACAAACGAACCCCTCAACATTTGAGAAGACGCTGCACTTGTTAAAGTCAGTCCAACATACAGTAACGATGTAGCAAAAACATCACAAAATGCTGGTGCAGCAAAAAGAAAATAGTTGAAATGTGGAATCTGTGGAATCTCAAGACGGTCACTTTGTAATGATACATCATTCTCGGCAGACACACTTTCACCCGTCTTTTCTAAACTAGTTTTTAAGCCGTCAGCTTCTTCATATACTTGACATTCTTTTTTTGCACCATTTAACATTTTCTTTTGACGTCTTTTCCCAAAATATCGCTGGACAAAGAGAACTACGAAAAAAACTACACCACAGCACATTTCACCAACAAACATCACAGTCGCCTAAAAACAATGTATTACAAAACACTACAATATTGACAAATTTCACGAATCATATAAATAGCTACTGCAATTATTTTTTGCTATGTCTATATATTAAGCTAAATGTAATACAAACGGGAAGGTATGCGAATGAGCTGTAGTACAACACTTTTTCAATACTCATCAGATATGAAAATGCAGATTTACTTGAAATTTGCATGAAATTACCTGGAAAAAGGGATGATTAAAATATCGTCCATTTATATTAATTCTATCGGCCCACCTGCAAATTTATTCTGCCATAGTCATAAGAACTCTCGAGATTTGATTTTTCATATAAAAATATCACTAGCACTCAGCTACTTCATTTATATGCTCAATTATTTAAAAATTTAAAATTCGTGAAGTTTTCGACCATACCGTAATTTTTAGGAGTAAAAATAAAGCTACTTTAGCAAATACACGAATGAATGATCGCTATGGTTATTTCCGAAAAGCAAATTCAATTACGGTTAAAAACAAACTTGGCCGCTAGAGTATTAACAGAACCAGTGATCACGAGCATCACACAAATGATAATTCGTAAAAATCTCATTGCCGGATCAAAAGTTTCATTGTTTGCTATTAAAGCTGCTTCATTCACTTTTTCTTCCTCACTGACTACATCATCTCCAACAAAATATGCCTTTTTGTTGTTGGGTGTTTCATCAATCGACTTTTTATCCATTTCTGAAAATGACTAGAATTGATTATCAGGAACAAAAACTACAATCTTTAATTTCTAGATAATCGCCATATTAGTGAAAATAAAAGTGCAAATAGTACACGGAAATGTCAAAATATAAACTTGAGTAATACCAGAAATATTCATAGAGATAATTCTTCAGAATTCTATCTTCCTTACGTGCTCATCTATTGAACTTTACAATTTAAAAACCACAGAAAGTAATGAATCACAATTAATCTATGACCAAGAAGCACAAAAAAGAATTATAATAATCTAGTCAAATTAAGGGTTCACAGTGATAATCTTAGTAATTGATTATAAACCCAAAAAAAGTCGACAAAACAACTCTCCAATCAAGATGCTGAGTTAAAGGCAAGCTGGAACAAACAAAGTAGCTCGATTCTTATCTATTCTTAACAGTCTTACCTTTTTTTTCTTTTCAAAATGCTCATTGCAGTGTACTGCAAAGGACCATCGAAAACTTTGAATGTGATTTCAAATCACACACAGCGGAGACACAGATCACAGTTTATTACCATAGTTTATATACCATTTTTACTACTCCTGAAATATGTTATTTATAAAAAAACATGGGAAATATTTCAAGAAATTTGGCAGATAACACAACATCCTTTCTGCAAACATATTCTGATACGAGCATCTTTTTGGCAAAGACATTCCAATAATTTTTTCCTTCCTCTTGTATAATATTTCTACATTCAACCTGAATCCATATGAGCAAATTTTCAGACTTCTCGATTTTCCAACTCAAAGGGTTAAAACAGTTGCATAGGATATTTTACCAAAAATTAAAATAAAAAATAATATTAGAGTACTTGGTTATTCACTGATAACGCAATGCTGATAAGTAACTTGTGTGCGGTCATAACACGTGGAATTACGAAAGATGCCTTCGTGAAGGGCTTTCACAACAATCAAACAGACGGTAATGACAACATAATAATGTAAACAGCGCATAAGTATAACTGATTGAGAAAGGGAATGAAAAGACATTTGGACCAAACATCAGGGAGAAAAATTTTCTTAGGTGGAAAGAAACTATTTTTTAGTACTGTAAATTTACTTAATTTATTGTAAAGATGTCCTTATCAGTAGTGTTGATTAGAAAGTGATTTTTCTATCATTTAAATAATTCAATTTTTTAAACTGTAGTCGAAATGAAGAAGATATACATAAATAAAGAGAAAAAACCTCGTCATATCATATTTGAAAATAAGTTTCAATAGAAAAAGCTGGCCTACCTCTATACAAAAATCAACTTTGAAATGTGAGAGCATGATTGACAAGATTCGCGACATTGATGGTCATTTGAATCGCATAAAACATTGATAACCATGTTTTATAGCTCATCAAAAACTGAAATAAATTTCATTTATACGTCATATAAAGTACTGCAGACATTAACATAGAAACACTATTTCATATCAATCTTGCAAAAAATGTAACGCAATCAATCGAAAAATCATACCAATTCCCAGACATCCAGCATCTCGTGAACTTGGTAAATGCTGATAGTAAAAACATAGGATACCATGCTTCTCTGACTTAAAAATATCAAGTGAGATATAGTACCAGATCCTGTATTCCAGAAAATCTGTTGAAGTTTGGCGCTCCAAAAACTTGTTTTTGTTAACATCTACAAAAATATAACTTCAAAGAGCATCCCCATCCAAGAAATAAACAAAACTTCAAAATAGTACTCGAAACTCGCATCTCACTCGTCTTATTACTATATTTTATAATGACGAATATCATTAAGTGAAATGTTAGCTTACAACTATGAGTACTTCAGGAAACCTATATTTTGCAGAATAAATAAAAGGCCAACACAAAACACACTGCGGAGAATCGAAGAACAAGATTACTGAAATATTTCACTTTGCTACGCACTGTTTGAAAAAAACTGAAAGTCACTAAACACTGTAAAATATAGAACATTAGCAAGTTTCAAATATTATGCACCAGACAGAGAAACAAAAAATTTATCGGTTTAGAAATTAGAAGTGATTATATACATCAACATATTTTTACATCAAATTTTAAAAGTCATTAGACAATGAAAAACTATTAGTCAGCACTATTTTGAACTAGTATGGCGCGATCATCAGCATAAAGATCAGTTCCACAGAATGATATACAGCAACCTGCCAGACGATTATTGGATATACGTGGTAATATCTGAAAATTCAAAAACTTTGGAAAAATAAAAAATCTCTCCCATCATTAAATAATAATAAAGTTGCAAATGAAGAGCGCAATGTTTCGAATAAAAATGAAAAAAAAAAGTTCATTTTAAAACTGATACCAAACATACATTTAAACGGAAAAATGGTCCAAAGTAGAGATCGTTGTAAATAAAAATCCCAAATATGAGCAATGCGAACCCAAGCAACTAAAAAATTACAATAAAAAGAGGGAATGAAAAGTTCAACGACAGACAAAATTTATGTGGAAAATTAGAACACGTATCTATACCTGCAGGGGAATAAAACGTTCTCCAAACAGTGGAATAGAAATCAACCAAATAAATAATGTCCGAATGCCATCAAGTACTATCCTGGTTGTTGCTGAGAGCTCTTTGGTCACAGATACACCAGCGAAATTGAAAAATGCAATGCTGAAAAAACGTTTTTATTCGAAAAATCAGTTTCCAAGTACTATATAATTGTATATCACAGAATTACATTTGCAGTTTACAGATATAAAATGGTGCAAAAGGCAGAATTACTTAGTGCATTGAAATTAATCCTTGTAAATGCTTTTTGCGATTTTTTATCTGCGATATAAAAAATCCTGCTGGACATGACTAAAAAATAAAGTCCTTGCATGAAGGAGAGCTGACTAGAACAAACAATCTCATTTAACACAATAATCCAATTTACTGAGGCTAGATGAAGGAAAAAAAAATTTTGAATACATACTAAAATAAATTTACTGCTGACATGAAATAAAGAAAAAGAGCACTGGTATTATCAACTAACCTAATAGAAGTGAGCAATAAAGCAATTCCAATCCAAGGATTGGCCTGTATATCTCTTAAAGCTTCAAAAATATCTTCAAGCCGATGATGTGGATTTGTAGAGAAAGTGGATGGTACATGTAGATAGTACAACGGAGTAAGCAGAAGTGCTAGAATTGTTAAGCCAAAAAAGCCTAAAATTTTATAAATTAAAAATAGCATTTGGAAAATAAAGTGAATACATCATCATACCATATAATGAACTGTTCATTTTAATACATATAGAGCAGCGAAAATGCCAAAATAGGATTCAGTGCCACAATCAATAATGCAGAAAAGAAGATTTACCTTCGTGTAACACTGATTTGATTATATATATGTATATACTGAAATTAGCAAAACTGCTAATCCTAAATTAATATAAGTAAATTTGGATGACTAACCTTCTAAACCCACCACCAGTAAAGGTGGTGCACTAAATTCCTGCATAATTTTTTGCTCTACAACCATCTGAACTGCGACGATAATCTGCGCAGTTACAATCAATAAATCACCTGATAAAGTAAAAAATTATGAGCTCTAGAATTCTGAAACATCGTTTATCTTCGTTACAGTACATATTACTAGATATTTTCTGATTCAAGAAAATTAAGTGCTAAGTAATGACTAATAAAGTACAAAAGGATTCCAGCTTTTTTGAGTACTTTCATGTGAACTTAACATGCAAAAACCATCGGTACAGAATAACACCTGTAAGTGAAATTCAGGACAGAAACAAATCAGAACTGCACAGCTTTCAATTCAAAGTAAATTCTTGAAAAGTGTACAGATGAAAACCTGTTATGATTCCATTTAAATCATCCAAAGGATTGTTGTCAAAAATAATGTTGCTCGCTCCAACAATAACAAGACCCACAGTAATAAAACCCATACCAAGCCAACGAAAACCTTGCAAATATGATCCCAAGAAGGCAACAGAGAACAAACCAGTGAATAATATTACAGCGCCTAAAGCTAGTGAAATTAATACTCAATGAAGAAGAGTCCCGTTATGAACAAAGCCTTATCAATATGTAAGATATACATCCACTGCAAAAGTTTCATGAAAAAAATTTAAACAGAAAACTAATCTCTAAGCATCTGAAACGATGAAGCCTGTGTGAGACTGAGACCAATTAGCATAATGGAAGTCGCAAGAACATCACAAAATGCTGGTGCAGCAAACACCCAAAAATTTAATTTTGGAAATATTTGCTCAGAAATTGATCTTCTACTAAGAATATTACTGCTACTATCATCGATTTCTGATACTGTCTCCTGGTGTCGGCGAATTTCCAAGTAACGTTTAATAATAAATACGAATAAACAAGACAATTCGCCCAGAAACATGCAGATTGACTGAAAAAGTTATCAAATTATTAATTTCAAAAAAAAAACGATTAAATTGAGATAAATCTCAATTTTTGACATTTTTCGACAACAAAATATAATTTGCATATTTGTTAACTACTTTATTTTATAGCTGAGTTTGAGTCTTAAATTTGAATGTTCAATGAAAATAGAAAAATAGCGCACTTTATACATGGAAAAAAATAAAATACATAATAGTAAAAATGTATCATAACTGCCAAACTTTATTTCCAAAAATAATTGAGAACACATAGAGCAAATAACTAAGCAAGTTCAGCAAAGTATATATAAAGTTTTTAAAGTCGGTGTACATACCTGAACGAATGGATGATTGAACCGCTTATTATTCACTACTAAGTTATCTGCCCATCTAGAAGAAAATATTATATACAGTAAACAAGAATCTAATTCAGAAATCAATGCTTCAATGATAATTATTTTAAGCATAAAATACAAGAGAATAAGTGAATTACTTGAAAGATCTGTATTTACAGTGGCTGTGGAAATGATGAAAAAAAAAATTCTTTTTATTCATAGCTTACTTTGCACTAATAGTATTAATCGATCCAGTGATCACCATGATCAATGCAAGCAAAAATGGCCTCAATTTATGCCTTCCATTGAAATCCATGGAACTAAAAAACACAATAAAGTATATTTTGAAAAAGAAATACAAATTATAAAAGAAAAGCGATAAAAATTGGAACTATGTTTTATCTTTTTGAAAATTGTAATTGAAAAAACACAATTCAGTTCATTTAATTTACGAGATGAAATGGTATTATATATGAATCACTTTTATTTTGAAGGAAAAAATTTTATTGAATAAACTGATGAACAGGCAGCACGGCCAGGGAAGCTATAAATGAATTGAATTTGCTCGCTAATTCAAATATTACCATATTTAAACCAATAAAGGAATTATTGAGAAAATTATCTAAGCAAAATACTATTTTTTAACTGAAGTACAAACAAGCACTCTATATTTTATCTTCTCGAACTATTACTGCAATGAAAATGTTAAATTAAAGTTAAAGCAGTCAACAATGAGCCAATAGAATCAAAATGAATCATCCAAGTTTTTGCTACATTTGTCCTAAAACTGCGTAATAATAACAACGATATTAACAATAATAATAATTTTAATATTAATAACAATAATAATAATAATAATAATAATAATAAAATATCAGCAACATACACATATGCCTTCGATGAAACAAGCGTACAAGGCTGAATTACAGTTATAAGTTTCAGTCACAACCTATATGACGTACATGAAGTTAGTCTAGATATCATTTCCTTTTATATTCGTCACATTAATTATGTACATTACGTAGAGAACAGTAACGACAAGTTATTTACATAACTTTTCAAGATTGACATATTACAGCGATACACAAATTTATGAACACAATTATATTCTAGACGTCATATATATACATATATAATGACGTATGCACCAAGAAATGTGCACAAGTAACACTTATAGATCTACCAAATTACAAAAACTGCAAACAAAACGATGCACACTAAAGCATGCGCATTACATTGAATGCGCGACAAAATCATGAAACCAAAAATGAGCTAAGGAAATTTCACAGCGACCATTCATCACTCACAAGAAGTAAGCTCATTTTTAATATAATTTCATACCAGGTCGGTTTTGGTAGTCATTGTTTGGTATCTAAGTCATCGCGTGGCTTACTTGTCATATTGGTAATTCTTTATTTACGTATCAATACGTTCATTTCAAGGGGTCCTATATACTAATTTTTTTTTTATTACTTATTTTTTCAGCTAAAAGTCGAGATGAAGATAAAACGGCAGAAAAGAAAAAATATTTCAAAGAAGCAAGATGAGTTGACCGATGAACAATCTGTCAATGAGTTAGAGCAATCTCAGCAGACATGTGAGATTAATATAGGAAACCAGCAGGTTGACAATTTCCTTTTAACATTTATTTTTTCCGTATATTTGTAATTAGTTTTTGAAAATTTTCTAAAATTATGTGTAAATTGTTTCCTTTTTTCATACGTGGATAGTAGTCATTGTTTAACTCTTATTAGTTGTCTCTGCGCTATCAGTTTTGAGAACTGAAAAGATTCAAAGCTCAGTTACTAAATTTGCCCAGAAAAAAAACACTACCTTTCGAATTAAGAATTTTTTTCCGTTCTCTGTTTCTTCACTAAAGAGAAAATCTGATATGTTGTTCACCTTTTTTCTAGCAGAAAAGTCAACATGAGGACAGTATTCATTCTAATAAAAGGCATCAAAAGAGTGTTAGTGATGCTCCAGTGATGAAAAAAAAACGGGTATCATTTGCTGCGGAATTGGCAAAAACCAAAATTTTTGACAAAAAAAAGAAATTACGGGCAAGTGCATTGTATCATATTATGTATCAGCATTATATAATGTAATATATTCAATATATCATATTATGTTATACTATAGATCTGTCGTTTTTTTACTTACATGCTTGGTTTTTTCATATTATTATGTTTAGTATTCAAGTATTTATAGTCTAAATGATGTTTCATATGTCTAGCAAAAACTGGTTGAACAGCTTCCAATGAATAAAGTTGGAAACGATATTACTAATATTGCCAGCATCGTCATTTACAATGTGTGAATACATTTCAGGTCTCGCCTTCTACAGCTGTTCCTGGCAAAAGTATTATTTCAACGAAAAAAAACGATAAAAAGAGATTGCTGGGTTCAGACTCAAAGTTCAAACGCAAAACTATAAAAAAAAAGAGCGTTTGTACCTCATTAGACATATCTCAGAATTGCGATGAAAAGTCTGGAACAGCACAAGTTGAACTTGAGGCTTCCTCTAATGCAGCACATAAACTTGATGGAGGAAATGTGAATGAAGTATTGGATATTGGTGAGAAAAAAAGAATTCGCAAGAACGGTGGCAAAGATCTTAAAAAAGTCAATGGAAGAGAAGAATTGCAGGTTGTTATCTATTTGATAGGAGGGCAGTTAGTTTTGCAAGCTGATTTCCGTACATTATTGATGCATTATTTCAGATAATTTTACTGCAGTAAAATTGTGCATTTTAAGAAATAGATGAACCTCTAGTAATGTATTAATTTTATGTGATATGTATTTATAATGCTAGCTTTTTGGTCAGGTATTCATTCTGTAGTAGAAGCTATTATATGGTAGTATTTTTTCACGCTCTAGGTAACACGAAAAGTGAAAGAAAAGTTACTCAACATGACAAGGAAGGAACGTAAGATCTATATTCAGGAGTTGCGGAGAAAGCATAAACCGAATTTCGATTTAGCTCTTCGCTGCAAACATTTGTGGGAGAAGTTGCGCAGGTTTTTTTAAATGAATTCTAGACTTTCTTCAGGCTATCAGAAAAAGTTGATTTTTAAAAGAACAGTTTTTGCATATTTTAAGCTTTTTAGCTATGTATTAGTTTTCGTTTGGAAAAAAAATATTAAAGCTCTTGTAAAGATTAATATATGCTATTCCAGAGGGAAAACAAGTGAATCGGAACGAAAAAAATTATCTGCTGAAATATACGATATAATGAAAGGAAAAGTAAAGGAATTAATATTTGCACATGATACTTGTCGAATTGTGGAATGTTTAGTGACTAATGGTGGAAAAGATATACGAACTGCTCTTTTTGAGGAGCTCGTGCCAGAGCTTATTCACATGTCGAAGTCAAAATATGCACGATTTTTTGTTACAAAGATGCTCAAATATGGGTATAGATCTTACATGCTTAATATGAGAATTTTTCGGCGATTTACAATTTATTTTCAACTGTTTCGGAATTTTGGAGCTTTTAAGGTCTTTTGCAGATTTATTTGTATATTCCGAATTTTAGCTTTAATATTTCATTCTTATTCTCAATAAACTTTGTAGGGTAGCTTGTCTTATTGCAATCATTTTCTGTAATATTCGGTTAGACACAGAATTAATCAAGTATTACTTTCATAATCGTTTATCTGTCTAGATCTTCTGCTCAACGCCAATTGATATTCGATGCTTTTCGTGGTCACTGTGTCTCCCTGTTTCGGACATCTATATCAGCAGTGGTATTAGAAACAGCATATAATGATTATGCAAACGCACTACAACGTTATAACATTATCATAGAGTTCTATGGAGCAGAATTTGCATATTTTAAGGTTATGAGCTTACTTTTTTCACTTTTTTTGGAACAAAATAAATTTATTCACATTGACTGTAGCTTTAATGTTTCAGGCTGCTGACAATACAGTGCGCACACTTAAAGAAATAATTGCTGATGATCCAAATCGGAAATCATCAATCATAAGTTATCTTGGGAAAATCCTTAATGACGTTGTGAAGAAGTAAATGTCACTAAAAGTTCTTTTGCAGTTTGCATTTTTAATGGAAAGTAGTGATTCTGGAAATATGTTATCATTAATTCATTACTTTCAAACTCTGCTCAGTTTAGGTCTCAAATTAATTTGAGTTTGGCGCATCGTTTGTTGAGTGATTACTTTGAATTGGCGGACTGTAACCAATTAGAGGAGCTAGTTGATTCGTTAAAGCTGCGCATACCTGAGGTCGTTTTGATCTGTTTGTCGTTTGCAACTTCATCGTGAAGTCGTTTGTGTTCCTTTATGTAAAAATAGTTTTCAAGTTTATATTTTTCAAAGTCGAAAAAAAGTTTAAAAAATTATGGAAATTGGAGGAAAAGGAATTTTTTCCAAATCTTTGAGAATTTTCATTGATTTTGCGGTCTTTAAGATTCTTCATACTAACGATGGTGTTCGTACTGCAATGAAGTGTTTGTGGAATAGTTCTGCAAAAGACCGGAAGGTTGTTGTTTTAGTCTTTTCCCTTATAAACATAGAAATATCAGTTTATCTTTCAAATTTATTCTTGTGTTTTTTCAGATAATACTCAAGAATTTCAAAGGATTAGTAGTGAAAACATGCACGGAGAAGTTTGCACATCGGTTTTTGATAGCTGTTTTTGATTCTGTTGATGATACGGTGCTCATAGGAAAATGTTTATTAAAGGTCTATTTCTAGTCACAGTTTTTTCTTGTTTTTCAGGAGTATGTTACTCCTTAATAAGGCAAATGAATTATAGTTTGAATCCAAAATTATTTCTTCACTGTAAATTGAAATATACCATTCATTATATGGGTTCAGAAAGTTTTATAATTAATTCTCTTTAGGAAATTTTGTCGAATATTGGGGAAATTATTATAACATCCTACGGTGTGAGGGTCATACATCATTTAATTCATCCAAGAGATCCTCGCTTTTGTTCTGCATCACAAATTGAAATTTATGAAGCGGTTAGTCCAATGTAACAGTGTTAATTGAATTGACTAAAGTACGCGTCTCATATCTTCAATGTTTCCATTATATATGTTTCGTTCAGCAGATATTGTTTTTTTGATTTAATTATGTGTTCGGGATAATTTCTTTACCACTGCATTATTAATTTTTTTTGGCTGCTAATTTTTAATCAGAATGGTTTAAGGGAGATGGGAACTCCAACAGCAGAAAAGATCCTAAGTTGCGTTATTCAGAATTATTTGCATACGTTAGAAAACCACTTTGTGTTTACTTTGCTCAGAATATGGATTTTTTGCTTAGCAACCACCATGCTTCGTTACTTGTTTTGGATATGCTAGAAGCGCCAAGTATATTTCTTTTCATTTTTTGTTTTTCAGTCAACAAATTTATACCAAACTTTGGGAACATTAATTATTTTAAGTTGAAGTTTGTGACTGTACTCCATGAGCGATGACTTATTTTCATCACTTGCATAAATATTTCTAAAAAATTTTGAATATAAGTGTGTAACTGAAGCTGATCTATTTGCAGCTGATTTGGATAAGTTTGATAGGAGTATAGATGAAGAAGATCGTGCAGCTTGTTATGAAGCTATAGCTCTTGCTTGTAGTCGAGAATTCATACCTAGTGATTCTGAACAACTTCATCCAATAGAACATCCACATGCACACTTTACCATTTCAAAATTGTTGAAAAGTGATTTGAAATTCAACGTTAAACTCGGGGATTTTATTGTCAAACACTGCGGAAATCAAATATCATCTTGGGTAATCTTGCTTTTAGATGTTTTAATTCACTATGCAGTTTGCACTATTGTTTGTACTTATTTTTGAAGGTATTTTCCTGCAATTTCTTTTTGGCTACACCAAATTTTTTTTCATTGAATTTCTGCTACTCAAACCAGACACTTTCACACTACTCATCCATTTAATATTATTTTCAGGTTTCATGCAATAAAGGATGTTTCGTATTACTACATATGCTTGAAAATGCTTCACATGAAATTCGAGACTTCCTTATTAAAGCGCTCCCATTATCAGCAGTACAAAGGTATCACACGAAGGGTGCCACTATATTAATGCAAAAATTGGAAATGTAATACACGTTCGATTTTCTTTTGTAGCCTCATATTCGAATCTCTTTTTTGTCATTGTTAAGTTATGATCATAAAAATAAGCAAAATTTGTACCTACATGGTTTTGGTTCAAAAATTTATAAAGGAGAATTTCTCCTTCTTCAGTTTTTCTCCTTGGATCTCATCTGTATTTTGTTTTGCAAGTAAGGAAGCAAAGTAAAATTAAGATTTACTATGAAAGAAATAATATATTTATCCATTTATAATATTTTTTCTGAAAAAAGAACCAGAAAAGATGTAAACAAGATAATACACCAAATACATTTTTCATCAATCGTGGGTATAGAATTAACAGGAAGTAATGGTCAGAAAATCACAGTTTAATGATAGTTTTCAATTCCTAACAGATTCGCTACCACTGATTAAGGCTTGATGCAAGCTGTTAGAAGAAATAAAGGATGAGAATTTATAGTTAAGTTTTCTAATAACGGACCTGACTGATAATTTATTATATGACGGTAATTTCATAAAACAAAATAATCGAAATAATGACAATGAATAAGTTTCTACACAATACACAAACAATAACATTATTGGTTTTTTGAAGCGAATTGAGGGTTAATTACATAAATGAAGTCATCGAACACATTGAATTTAAAAGGTTTAAGTTCAATTTCATTCTTGCAAAGATCGTCGGTTCTAAATGGGTCACAACTTGTTGCTATCCCCTTGTTATCGCTTTCTTTGAAATTCAAAGGTTGACTTACTGGCGCAGATTCTGGTTTCAAACCCTCTGAATCTAGATTCAGATCTGATTCTGTGATTAGTTCTAATTTGTTCTTCTTTCGCCATTCTGTCAGATGTTGTGATTCTGGTTCCACTCTGCAAGTAGTTTATTGGTGAGTCGTACTCTTGCTAGACATGCTGGTATTTTGAGTTTAAAAAAATGATGCAGTAGAGGATATAACGATTTTCAGCACTGCTTCCTAGTACTAAACATATGGATAGAGATTTTTGCACATTCTGACAGTACTTTTTATTCATGAGAATTTCCACGATTATTAAGAGCTCCAGGTTTGTACAATTTTCGTACTAACACCTAGTCGCAAGAAGACTTTTTATCAAGAAAAAAGTTATTACCCAAGATGAGATGGACCATCTAGAAGTAAGTCAACTTTTGTATTTGTTGAAGGTTGTAATGAAGATGGCGATAACCGATCTAAACATTTTTCCAAGTCGATCTTTATAGGGTCATGAATGAAATGGCACTGATCACCATAAGGACAGTAACCAAAGGTAGTATATTTGATACAAAGCGCTGTTCGATATCGAGGATTATTAAAGATCTTCTGCAGTAGCAAAATTAAGAAGTAAACTTTAAAGCAGTTTTTAATGTTTTGCAATTTCTGATACTGTTAAAGTGTAAATGAAGCAAACAAATCATGCAATATTTTATTTATTTTCTGAAATTCATCTCTGTATGCACTGATTAATTGTCAAAACAGGGAGGATTTCATGATTTGTTTGAAAATTTAGTGCCAAACTGACATTGTATAGAGATAATGGACTAAAATTAAATCAAATTAATGATATAATTAACGAAGTAACTAACCACTTCTGTCTTTGGTACTGGTCGCAATTCTTCTATTCCATGTGCAAATTTGCATCGTTTGCCATAATTGCAACGACCAGTATCTTTCCAGGCTTGACATGGTACTGTCTACAAAAGTTTTATCATCTTTTACATCATATCTCATTTTTTTGCAATTAGTAGTAATTTTATTGCTAGTTGAAAACTCTAAGAGTTAATAGTGTAATTAATTAAAGAAATAAATTTGTTTTTGCTGTCATTTTATTGTTATTATTTATTATTATTATTATTATCATTATTTCTTATCAATATTATTATTATTATTATTATTATTAAGATGATTTAGACTGAATAGAAAGAAACTTGTACCTTTTTTCACATTCAGAATAATGTACGATGAAGAAAAATACAAATGATAGATAGTTTTGTTTTTATTTTATATTTTCATGTACATAAACCAATTTCAAGTTTTATTCTTCAATGTACACTTAAATGAAGCGATTTTTTCTTCATAATTTCTGCCATGAAAAATTCACTACGATAATATTTGATTTATTCATATAAAATAGCTGTTGAACACTTATAATATGCTTTTTCTGAAAAAAGAAATGAATGCTAGCTAACTTTATGAGTTTCAGCTTTACGTTTTTGCTTCCGTTGCGCAAGTAATAACTGTGACTGATAAATATACATGTGCCACTGTGCAATATAGTGCTCTCTATTATAATGGCTTGCGTCGAGCTTCATTGCTTTTAGAATTTTCTGCTCTTCTGCTTGATCATTCATTCTTTTGTGCTACAAAATACTATTTCTGTAAGTGTTTCGCACTCATAATCAGCTACATCAATTTCTTTTTTTTGTTTTTTGCCTAATCGGAGCTTATCGCTAATGATTTGCATTATTATTATTATTATTATTATTATTATTATTAAACATTACAAATGTTTAATGATAATAATATTTTTGTAATATAGTTATAATATCTTTGTCTTTATTACTAAAACGGAAATATACTAAATTACACTTACTTAATCTTTCCTTTTGATAATTAAAAAAAAGCCTTAAATTATGAAAATAAGTGGATACCTTTCCCAATCTTAACACCGCTACCTACTGATTCGATTTACTGTCACTAAAAATTGCTACAATTCTGAATTATTCTGATGGGCAATGTTCTACAAAACGCTTTGGAGCGAATTTTTATTACCGCCAAGTTGAGATTTTTATTCAAATCGTTTCTTCTGCTTTATTATGAAAAGAAATACTTCGAATGATACTGAAAATTTCTTTCTTGCTTGTTCTTTAAGTAGTGATTTAAATTTTCAGAAATACTGAATATTTAAATTGCTAAATTTTTTCTCTAATTACTGCACAAATATTGTCATTCAATTTGAATAGAAAGTTTTACCATTATATATTACAGTGCTAAGCTTTATAAATGCAATAGTAATAATTCTACTTATCATTATTAGTGTTATTATAATTATAATAATATTAAATAATAATAATTATTATTATTATCAATTATTAATTATTATTATTATCTTGAATGTTCATAATTTTTTGAAACAATTTTAAATTAAATTAACTCTAATAACAAAATCTGAGTCAAAAATTACGTTTTACAGCAAGTAATAATTAAATATTAATAATAAAAATTGTCCCGAATTATTACAAAAAATGATTGATTCATTTAACATTTTTAAGATTATTTGTCACGGAGTGATTATAGAGATTCTAGAATGTTATTTATGTTTTAGTACTGCAAACCGCTAACTGAAAACTTCTACTAAATCCTCATGTGAACATTTAGAATTCGGAGAGAAAGCTCAGTCGTTATCTACTTCTAAGTGTGCATTCAATCTTCTTCAGCTATCTGCACAAAAATGTTCAAATTCTTGATAAATAATTGGTGAAAAAAAAAGAAGTTATTTTGACTATCTTGATATGAACCCTTACTTACAACTTAATTTTGTGTACATTTATACAATATGTCATTTCCGATGACTGCGCAAGATTGTTTTCAATTAATTGTTTATATTTAGAAATGTAAAGGTTAATCTCTTAAAATTTTTTTTTTTACCAATAATGTGTCATTATTTTAGTTCTTCATGCTTCTGTTTTGAATTTTTTTTCAAATTTATCTAAGTCAGTTTATTTTTATAATACGAATAGACATCAATTTAACTCTACTTTCTAGAACAATTTTATTAATTTATGTGTACAAAACTTTAGTTCACTGATTGTATTTTCGTTCTTTCGATATTTTCCATATATAAATTGAAGAAAAGATTCTCAACGTGTTAAAATTTCAATTATTTATGTCACAATAAATTTTTCACTCCATAAGCGACATTTTGAATTCGCTCAACAAAATATGGCAATTTCAAATCTTACACGCATGTTTCACTTCATTCCGTTGATGATTTATGTATCAAATAGAATTTTTTTTCTTTTTTTTTTTGCATTCTTTTTATTAAATTTTTATTACTGATAGCACAGCAACAATTTTGAATACATAATGAGTAAGGACGAGATTTAATGTGTTTATCTTTAAATTGCCATTCACCCTAGCTGAAATAATTCATTAGATAATTTATATATTTCGAACAAACAGTAAATAATAAGGCAAAGCTTAGTATTTTACATTTGATAAGTGCAATAGATAACTTTTTTATAAAAAAGTAAATTCATGCAAGTATGCTTACTACTTAATCAACTCTCGAAACGAAGCTCTGAATTTAAAATATTTTTGTATCCTTTTAAAAATATGTTATTTTGCACATCTGAAATACTTTATCAGAAGTTATTCTCTTATGATTCTTATTGCATTGCTCATTTAATCTCACTAAAGCTTCAACATATAAGTCATTCACGAAACTGCAATTTACAGTAAGTTATGACATATTTGGTTTAAGCGATATTTTAATTAAACTGCACCTAGTATAATTCGTAAAGTAATGCTGCCCTAAATGCCTTTTTTAATCATTCTTTCTATTTTATTTGAAACAACCCTTCTTTAATTATTATTAAAAACATAGTAAATACTTGAGTATAAGTTTTATTGGCAGTCTGTAACGGCGTAAAAATTAGCAGTAATTATAATTCTTACAAAAAAGCCTCACTTGACCGTTTTCAGTCTTTAGCAGTGTGTTTGTTTTACGTTGTAATGCCTTCTATTTATTTTTTTACTGAACTATTTTACTGAAAATATTATGATTTATTGGTCTGAAACCACCGTGAAATTAATGCCAATTATTTTCATAACTTTCAAGATATGTGTAATTCTGTCACCATTTTCAACTCCGCTTTACTCTTACTACAATTTTTTAACAAACACTCAATTTGATACATAGGCAGACTTTTGTTGCATAACGATAGCAACTTTCTGGATTATTGACTCCCATGACTTGATGTTCATTTAGCTGAAATCATGTCATGAAGTTCATTTAGCTTAGTTAGTCCCAAGTCATAAATGCATCAGAAGTAGCTTATGTTGTATTGTTATTTTTATGAGTTAGCAAATTTTCAGTGTATATATTCGATGAATTTACAATGTAAACGAAATTTATTTTGGAAGTATGATACAATATTTTGTGGAACAAATGCTGAATGAATTGCACATTTGAGCCAATAACATTTCCATTTGCGCCCCATAACACAAAATGGAAAATGCGCAGTCATGTGATAATTAAAATAATGCTTAAATGGCTCTCGTCACTTCATCGCTACTGACAGTCTCCCGTATAATTTTCAGGATGATGATCCAGACCGCTGTCTGATCTGAGCTGCTTGGCTACTGATTTCATTGATAAAATTCTTGAAGGCATTCGGATCTCGTAAACACTTTTGTTGTTTATCCTTAACAACCAATTTTTGTTACCTTAAGTGAATATAACTTTCTAATGATTATAAACAAAAAATGAAATAAGTAATCAATAATTACTGTTATAGTTACTTTAATATATCAAAGTATGTATAGAAGTAAAAGTGTATTTATACTGTTCAGTTTCCGATCAAAACTTTCACTTTGCACAAAAAATGCTCAAACCTGTAAATGATACTTGCAGACATCAACCCACAATCGTGCACATCCCAGTTTCTTATCTTTCGTATCAGAAAATGAAAACGTTAACCAGTACTCGTTCTGAAGAATTTTTTTTATTAGTGATATTTATCTTCGCTAAATTATTATTACATCTCATTTTGATCTAAAATGGATGAAAACATTTTGAAATTTGGCAATAAAAATTAAAACGAATATTTTCGATGAGAAAAAAAACTACGAAGAAGCAATAAATTTTTATTAAAAGTTTATTGTAAAGGAATAAATTCAAAAATGGCACTGATTGTAATGGGCCGAAGAAGCTCTTGGGCAAATCATCCGTTGTAAAAACTTTGCTGAATGTCATTGTCCAATGTCCTTTTGGTGGTGGACATAATTTGTTTTGACGAATAAATTCATGAGCTTTACGATCTGTTACATATTTATCCGCTGCTTTTATCGTTTCTCGACATTTGTCTAGCATATTACAATAACGACTATAAGTAAAATTGCAATTAAATTATTCTTTTTCTTTTTTTGTACCTTAAAATTTAGCTTCACAGAGCGTAAAATTTGATAGTACTTATCGAAGTAAAAGCAAATTATTCAAACTTCGTGCTCTTTTTTTTTTTCAATTTTGCACATAAATATAAGCTTTAAATTCAGTAAATTTCAAGTAAGTTCCACCATCAGCAGGATAATGTTAGAACTTACCATGAGCCGACACCATCACAACCATCGATGATATTCCATCCCTGACATGGAACTACTTGCCAACCTTTTGATCCCTGTTTATTCGTTACTGCATGCCTTACCTCAACAATTCATCATGCAAGTACTTTTCATCTCATTAATTGTTCAATGAAACAGTCTTTATCTGTAACACTAAAACGGTTTTTGTAGATCATTTGATCTAAAATTATAAACTGCTTCTGACTTATATTCAAATTTGCTCAAAAGTTAAAAAAATTTGTTTCATAAAAACTAATTTTACGTGTAAAAAAGCAGTACCTCGAGATCCATTTCAATTTTATCTTGTGGTAATTCTTCGCTAACATCCATTGTTACATTAAAATAAATGGGGCCAGGAAATCGTGGATAATCAGGCCAAACGACTATATTTGAAACATTCACTACATAGTTTGTCCACTACAAATTTAAAATTTATCCCATTTGTATGCATTTAAGCAATAAAACGTAATTCGCATTAATTGTTGCTTCATTATGAGCATTAACAAAGTGCTGCATGATTTGAAATGTTAAAAATATATAAACCAAATGTTTGAACTTGACTGAATTTTTAAAATAGAAAACAATTAGGTATAAACACCACTCGTAAAAAGTGCTGCTTCTGTTTTATGACTTCTTTTTAAATTATTTCATCTATTTGTATATGATTGCTCAGATTACATTTGTAAACTAAACATTTTCAAAATTTAGAACGAAACAAAGATTCGATAAATAGGTTTTTCGAAATTTTTTCTTCCATCAGAAAATTAATAAAAATGATTAATATTAATACTTTAAAAATTAGGCAGCATAATAATTTAAAGAAAGGCTAACCTGCTCGCTGGCACATCGACTAAATTGCCAGCCACGAATAACAACACCATGTGGTCCTGTATTGTATTTTTCCCAGTATGGTACCTGACCTGGAAAAGTCTCTTCCCAAGCCCGTGACAGTGCTGACTGGGCTGCTGTTTTTAAATAAATCATAGATAATACGAGATTCGTGAGGACACTCCTCAACAACATCTATAATCTTTATTTTTTCTATCAAAATTAATCTTTTTAATAAATTAAACTATAATAATATAAGTGAGTTACTGCGACTAAAATGCTACACTAGTCAATACACGCATGCGACAGTGACAAAACGATGTCACTTCATTGATTTCAACTTGATCAATTTAAAACGCAAGAAGTAAGTTGTATATAATTCAACTAAACGACAATAATATATTTTTCAAAGTACTGCACTAGTAACTACTTTAGAACAACTGAAGTAGTCATCTTTTGAATTGAATGGAAGGAAGGAGGAGACTTCATGTTCAAAACGCCTTCACTCCAATGAATTTCTTAGCATTTTTTGTAATTTAAAAAAT